AAATCACTTTTTTCCCATCCCAGGAAAATATCAATCCATGACGCACTTGGGATTCGCACCCGGCACATTGCCGTAATAACCCTGAATAGCTCTGCACACGAAGCCAAGGATTTGGCATGCCTAAAATACAGGTAGTCCTCAACTTATGACCACAACTGAGCCCCAAATGTTTGTCAAGTGGATTTTGGCCTGTTTTATGACATTTCCTGCCACATTTCTTATTGTTTTACTTTATCTTCTGAAATTGTCTCCTGATCATAAGAGTTTTCCGTAATGGTTTTGAATCACTTTCTTTTTATCGTCATTTTGATGGTGAAGAGTTCCTTCATCATCCATTAATTGGAGTACCAATTTCCTTTCTTTCTCTTTTTTCAATTTATATGCCAGCCAGATTCCTGGTTTACTTGCATTTTTTTTCTTCCTGCCACATTTCTTAGGTGAATCACCACAGTGCAGCGGTGAAATCCTCCGCGGATTGCCACCGGTTTGCTGCGTGCACATACGCAGTGTGCGCCAAATACGTGCTTCGCGTGGAAAAAGAAGACTTCACTAGGTAAGTAGAATAGCGAGGGGGGGGGAACAGCTGTGCCGCGTGATTTAGCTTTGCTAGACAGCTGTTGTGGCCCGTCAGCGGCCTGTGCAGTTAGTAGCTGATTTCGACAGCAAGGAGGCTGGTGTGGTGCTGCGCCAACAGCCTGTGCAGCTGGCGCTCGAGTCAGACAATGAGGAGGGCTGGAGAAGATGTGGTGCCAGAGGCAGAGATTCAGCCAGGGCCTTCAGAACCTCCAGAAGCTCCCATAAGTGAAGAGGAAAAAGAGGAGGAGCCTCTTCTCGATGCACGAGCACGCAGAGCTGTTAAAAGGCAGGAGTGGCTCCTCAAGAGGAGGTCTCCTCGAGAGTAAGGCTGGGGGCTAATTGGCCACTCCCCTAGCCTATTTAAGGAAGGACGACGACTGATGCAATTTGCAGGAAACAACTTCGTTCATATTCCTTCGCGTCTCGATTCCAGAAACGTTTGATTCGGCTCTTGTTTCTCTCTTGTCAGTTTTCCTGCAAATTGCTTCTGGGCATTCTGCCAACTACAGTAAGATTACGGTTATCTGAAATACTGTGCCTCAGAATTGAGTTATTATTCTTTGGATTCTTGCCGGCTGTTAATGAAGTTAAATTAACAGCCCTTGTTCAGAAAAGACTGATTTAAACTGTACTTGTGTTCAAACAACTACTAAGAAAGCTCATTAGTAGTCCTTAATTAGTAAACTTAAGGTTTCTTTGGACTTTGTGTGTGCTGCGTTCTTTGGGGTCCGTAGCTGGGGCAGAACAGCAGCAGGATTTCCTGCTGTCTACCGAATATAAACCGCGTGGCACAGCTGATTGTCGGAAATATGGGTTCGGACGAATCAGTAGCTTTTTTTAACTACTGATTTGACTGAACCGGGAGTTTTTATCACTACCGATTCGCATGAACTGGAGCGAACCGGTAGCATTTCACCCCTGCCGCATTGGTTAAATTCATCAACATGGTTGTTAAGTGAATCTGGTTTCCCCCGTCGACTTTGCTCATCCGAAGGTCACCAAAGGGGATCACATGACCCCCCCAGCGGGACGCGGCAACTGTTGTCTGAATTCGGTCCTTGCAGGAGGACGTGTCAAACCGCCAGCGTGCTGGTTAAGAACGGAACAAGCTGCCCTTATTTAATCTCAGCCTCGTCTCCGGATCCTTCCAAGCTCGAGATTGTTTGCCCTGGATAAATATTGAATGTGCTTTGGGGCCAAAGCAAACAAATCCTATCAGAATTCAAAGATCAGCTCATGTGTGAACCAATATTGGCTTTTGGAGATGGCCGGTGTGTGTGTGTGTATGTCTATAATTAATTCAGACCAATCGGACGCCACGACTCCCAGTTTTGATAACTGAGAGATGCTTTAACAGCCCGACGTGTTCCCGATTGGAAAGGGCGCAGAGAAGAGCGACAAAGGTGATTAGGGGACTGGAGACTAAAACATATAAAGAACGTTTGCTGGAATTGGACACGGCCAGTTTGATGAAAAGAAGGACTAGGTGCAGTGGTGGGATTCAGCCGGTTCGGGAAAACCGGTAGCGGCAACTGAGGTAGGCCATGCCCACCCGCCTGGGCGTAATGCCGTCCTATTTTTTTTTTTAATTTGATTTATTTTGCCATGTTTTGGAGGCTGTATGCATGCGCGGAAGGGGCGCGCGAGAGCAAAGAGCATGTGAGGACAGAAGAGCACGCGTAGAAGATGCTCGCGCTCACATTTCCGAACTGGTAGGGAAGGTAAGTGAATTCCACCTCTGACTAGCTGATACGATCAGTATTTGAGGGGCTGCCGCAAAGAACACGAGATCAATCTACTCTCCAAAGCATCAGAAGGCAAGACAAGAAACAATGGATGGAAACTAACCAAGGAGAGAAGCAACCTGGAATTGAGGAGAAAATTCCTGACAGCGAGAACAATTAATCGGCGGAACAACTTGCCTCCAGAAGTTGTGGTTGCTCCATCACTGGAGGTGTTTTAAGAAGAGACTGGACAGCCATTTTGTCTGAAATGGCTGTCCAGGGGGGTTGGACTAGAAGACCTCTAAGGTCCCTTCCAGTTCTATTTTGATGGCTTGAGTGAACAGCTGACCTCCAGTAATTTCTGAATGGTCCCAACACTGGAGGCTTTCAAAAAGAACCTGGACGGCCACTTGTCTGAAATGGTTTAGGGCAGCGATGGCTAACCTTTTTGCCGTCGCGTGCCAAAAACGGAGGGAGTGTGAGGGGTCGCTCGTGCGCATACCCATACCCATAATTCAATGTGCCCCGCCCTTCCTTGCATGCACACACGACCTCCCCCTGGTGCTCCCCCAGTTTATGGCACGGTGGACCCGGTAGGCCTGTTTTTCCGCCCTCCCCAGGCTCCAGAGGCTTTATTGGAGCCTGGGGAGGGCAAAAACAGCCTTCCCCACCCCTCCCCCCCGGAGACCAGAAATGGCCCGTTTTCCGACTTCCGGTGGGACCGGAAGGCCCGTTTTTCGCCCTCCCCAGGCTCCAGGGGCTTTCTAGGAACTGCAGATCTCCGAATTTTTTCCCCAAGGAGAAATTCCACCTCCCGTCCCTTTTGCAGAAATGTAAAATAAATAAAATAAATAAAAGGGGGGGGGGGTGGAAGGGGGAATTGTGAGTCTTTAGTTCCTTGGGAGCCGCCATTGCATTTTTTGGGGGGGGGGGGCCTCCGGCAATGTTGCAAGCTTGCATAAAAGCATCACACACTTCCCTTATACCCAAGGCCAGCTGACACACAACAGTTGTTGGCAAGTTTAGTGCCTCATCACATCCCCGGTCGCGGGAGGGGGGGGGGTTGCCATGGTTTTGTACATAAACACACCCCACGAGGCAAAAGCTGAATTCTTTCATTTTTGCTGGCTGTCCCACATGTTTGGGTGTCTGGAAAGGAAGACCGATAAAATATTCGCTCTCCCTCACCCCTCCGAAATTATTTTTCCCGGGGCCTTCGACAGCCCCTGAACGAAAAAACACATTCCATCGGCCGGTTGGAAAGGAAAAAGGCGGTGGCGGCTGTTTCGTAAGCCCCCCACCCACCCTGGAAGTTCATCCCTGCTCCATGAATCCCTCTCCCCCTTTTGATGGATACCACTCTTGCAAATATCAAAGGAGGAGGGGAAAGAAAAAAAAGAAAAAAGAACCTTAAGGAATTTTATTATTTTATTTTTTTGAAAAAAAGCGGTTGCATAGAAACCGAGCAAAATATTTCTTCGCAAACCGGAGCGGGGATTTGCAAAGAACAAGAGCCCAGCGCCTCTCAAGTTTTCTTGCAAAAACTGTAAATATATATATATATATATATATATATATTTCTTATCCAGCTCACTCTCACTTCCTCATTTGGGGAAGACGAAAACTGGGTTGGCCCGTTGCTTAACGCAGATTGCAGAAGACGCCCGAGGTGAGGGAGTTCGCTTGGTTGCCAACCGTATTTTTTTTTGTTTTTTTTGGTTTTGCAAGCCGCGATGAATACGCTCGGCCTGGTGGGAGAAACAGCCAGACAAGGCCCTAGTTTCCTTCGCTTGTCGGTCTTTTAACATCCTGACTTTGTCCCATGAAGTACAGGTAATCCTCGACTTACGACAGCGAGGAAGGCCGAAAATTTCAGTTCTTAAGCGAGACCTTTTGTTCAGGGAGTTTTTGCCCCGTTTTGCAACCCTATTTTTTGGCCCAGTTGTTAAGGGAATCACTGTAGGCGTTATGCTACTAACCCGGTTGTTAAGTGAATCTGGCTTCCCCGTTGACTTTGCTTGTCAGGGGGTCACAAAAAAGAGGATCAGAGAGTCGTTGCATGCGTAATAACCAGAGGTAGCATTCAGCTGGTTCAGATCGGTTCGCCCGAACCGGTTGCGGAAATCACAGGTGGGCCTACCCAGCTGTCCCGGCTCTATGCCATACTATTTAGGTATATTTTGGAGGCCAGGCGAATGCGCGGAAGGCGCACGTGCCAGCAAAGCACATGCATAGAAGGCCGGGGCACATGCATGGAGCATGCACACTCACATTTGCGAACCGGTAGGGAAGGTTAGTGACTACCACCCCTGGTCATAACTATGAATCAGGTGCCAAGCGTCTGAATTTTGATCACCCTACCAAGGGGCTACTGCAATGGTCGTAAGTGTGAAAAACGGCCATAAAGCGTAACTTGGAACGGTCGCTAAATGAAACTGTTGTAAGTCGAGAACCACCTGCAGAAACAATCCAACCTCGGCATGGGAGTGTCAGCTTTCAACAAACTTCCATCCCTTTTTTTTTTTTCTTTCTCCAAATGTGCAAATCCATATTTTCATCATTTAGTCATCGGAAACTGCCCCGTCCCTCCCCGTCTTCCAGCAACCCAGCACCAGAGAATATCATTATTATTTTTTTTTTGGAATGGAAAATGTGTCGCTCAAGATTCATAAACCATTTGCGAGATTGACAGCCACAGACTTGTTCTATTAATACATTTTTATTTTCGTTCTCTTTCGCTTTCATCGGGGTCCTAATCATCTACAATCCACAAAGGGGGGGGGAGAGGGAAACCAGTGAGAGGTTTTTTTTTTTCTTTTAAAAATAAAAATTGTACAAGCCAGACACACCAACAATGTGCACCAAAGGAAGGAAGGGGAAATGAAATATTCAAGATAATAAAAACCAAAAAAAAAAAAGAGAAAGAAACCACATATGTGCCTGAATTTCTGGTGTGTGTGGGAAACGGGGACCAAGGACAATTAAAAATGCTTGGCTCTGCACACATTAAAATCCTTTTATGTGCAATTTTTTTTAAAGTGTTCCACTTGAAAAAAGTAGTTTTGGTTTTATTCTTCAATTTAAAAAAATAATAATAATAATAATAAGAGACACGAAGAAAGATCGCCTCCCAAAAAAACTAACTTTGGCACCAAGTTGTGTGCTTAAAACAAAAAAAAATAAACCTCTTAACCTATTTGTCTCTTCTTCATTTAAAACAAACTTAACTCCAATTTTTCTACAGCAGCATGACTTAAAAACATCAACAAAAAAAACAACAACAATCCAGCCTTTTAACATTCAAAACAATGCAAAATGTATACATACACACACATACGCACTCGGTATCTATATATATTAACATTTCCCCCTCCGTATAGACGCCCCCTGTACCAACACACATCGAACAAAAAGAACACACCTGTTAGAGGTTATTGGGTGGGAGGGACAAGAAAAAAACACAAAAGGTTTTTCCCCACCTCCATTTAAGGTTAATAAAATATGTGCAAATCAAAATCCCTTGGAAGGCAGTATCGAAAATAAAGGGTTTTTTTTTTTTGTTCCCCCTGCTGGTTGGATCATCAAGGATATTTGCCAGTCTCGATTATCACATTTTTTTGGGGGGGGGGGGATCCTACGATGCCCGACCAGCCCAGGAAGTGGAGGGAGGGGTTTAGGATTGAGCCCCCCCCCACACCCACTCGAGAACCGGATTCTGGGTCAGCCAGCTGAATTTGAGCCTGACTAAGTGGATCGCAAACAAGGAATCCATGATGGAACTTGGCTAGCCGGCTTAACTACCTTTCCCACAATTTAAAGACCCTCTTTTCCCTACTACTGGGAGTCTGAGGTTTCTGGCACCCCAAATTCCTAACTGGCTGCGTGGGGGGGAATCCACATGGTGCCCATTCTACGGGGCCGGATTAGGGCATCCCTCTCCCTTCCCTCCACCCCCTCAAATGATCTTTACACCCCCAATTTCCATTTCAAGTATTTTCTCCAGCAAAAAGACGGGGAGGTGAGCTATGCAGCAGTGAGGCCCGGCCGATTTGGTGGGCACCAAGGCACGGTGGTGAAGGCAGGGGAAAAATATGTGGAAAGGTATTCCGGCGGTAGCTCGCTTCATTCCTCAAGGCCACCAATCCAATCCATCCCTTTCCCGCATCCAAAAGTTGGGCCACGTCGTCCGATGCTTGCACCCGGTGCCATCTCCCAACACGGACGAGCCAGCCACGCGCAGAGGTGTCCCCCCGCTCAATAAAACTCCACAGGACCGGCCCTTTTCGTGGTTGACGGACGAGCGGGAAACTCAAATGTGGACGCAAGAAACTAGATTTTTTCCTGGAAAAAAAATCCCACAGAAGGGGGGTTGATCTTGTAAAAGGAGCTTTTCCACCTGCGGCATGGCCCAGGGATGGGACGTGGAGCAGATTTCTTTCAAAACACGCAAGAAAGGACGACACCTCCCCACCCCGTCTCCCAAGTTTTTGACTCAGTGAATCCAACACAATTCATTCCTAGCAAAAGTCTGTCCTTCCGGTGTTCCAAGAGGGGTCATTGGTAAAGAAGGTAATTTTTGAGAGATTTGGGTAAAGGCAGCGTCGAGATCTCACTCAGCCGGTTCTTGCCCAAAGCGAGGCGCACCGAACGCCGGCACAGGTCCATCAGCGGTAAAGGTTCGGCTAAAAGGGAAACAGACCGAAAATTAGCATCGTTTACAGACCTGAAATGAAGAACAGTCCAAATTCAACCGGCAGTTTGACGTGCACAGACACGTCGAGCTCTTTCAGCGAGCCCAGCTGTATCCTGGATGTAATAAAAACAGACAGCCTTGGAGCAAAATGGCTTTGCTCGTTTTAAGACGACGATCGACCGCAGAGGCCGAATTCTTCATTTAAATTTGCTGGAATGAGACTTGGCTTCGATCTAAGGCCCGCGTTTCTCAATCTCGGCACCTTTTAAGATGTCTGGACTTCAACTCCCAGAATTCCCCAGCCAGCAATGCAGAATTCTGGGAGTTGAAGTCCTCACCCTCTTGGAAAGGGAATTCTGGGAATTGAAGTCCAGGCGTTTTTAAAAGGTGCTGCGATTGAGAAACGCTGACGTTCGTTAGCACAACGTCAAATTGCCAATTGAGAAGAGTTCCTTTTGAGAAATGCATATTTGTCTTTTTCTTAAATTACCCCAAATCCCTCGTCTGCTAGACCCAGAAAACTTCTAGGTTGCCACAGGAGGAATCAGTCAACCCCGCCCCCGCCACCCCGGCTTGGGCGTCTCCTCACAAATCCCCGACTTTCAAAGCAAGCTAAAATGATATTTATATATATATATATATATATATATGAAGTAAGCTCTATCTGGCAAGTAAAGTTTTGTCTACAACACCGAGTTGGAAATTTAGCGGAGTCAAGAAGAGAAAAAAAAACACAGTTGCATGGTAGCAGAAGCCAATTTTGACCTTCCCATTCCTGAGAAAAATTTCATCCTGTTGACTAAATTTGCCTCACTCATCCCACTTAAAAGCAGCACCTGCAAGAACACGTCACAAATATCGGCAATTAAACCTCTTTTTTTTTTTTGCAGTGACTTATTTCTCCCAGCTGCCGTTTCCTCCTCAGGCAGATTTTTCCAAAGTTGGCTGCCAACGCCGAAGGCCTCAATCACGCACGGGAGAGCACCAGGTGCACACATTTTCGTGGGTGTCAGAATTGGGGCCCCCTCCCCCCCATGGATGGCAAGCGGGGCCAAAAATCTGTACCGCCAAACCTCCCGGATTCAGAAATTCTGGATTAAAGGAATTGGGGAAAACCCGTTGGAGAATATTTCCCTTAACTTTTCTTGCCTGAAATTTCGTCGTTGTTTGGAAATCATCACTTAGCAACCACAATGGAGCCCAAAGTTTGCTGGATGTGCTAAGACAAGGCTGGTCGTTGAGTTTTGCTGCGTTTTATAACTTTTTGGGCCACGCTTAACGGAATCACTGCACTGCTGTTGTTAAGCGAATCGAATCATGCGGCCATTAAGCGAATCTGGCTTTAATTCTGGTCAGTAGCCGGGTGGGAAGGTTGCAAATATTGATTATAATAACAGTCACAGAGTTGGAAGGGACCTTGGAGGTTATCTAGTCCAACCCCCTGCTCACACAGGAGACCTATACTCCTGGGATTCGAACCGCCAACCTTTCTGATCGACAAGCTCAGCGTCTTAGCCACTGAGCCACCTAGCCAGCCAGGATTACGTCACCCCAGAGACGGCGCAACTGCCTTAAATACATGCCAGTGGCCAAAAATGCCTACATGTGGATCACGTGACTGTGGGGAAATGCTGCAACGGTCATTAAGTGCGAAAACCGGTCCTAAATTACTTTTTTTCAGTGCCGTTGTACCTTCGAACGGTCACTAAATGAATGTAAGTCGAGACGATTTGTTTGCGCAGGAGTCGATCTGAATATATAGAGTTGCCAGTGCTGAACAGGGGATTGCTATGTTATAAAACGAGGACGCGGACAACTGGTCCAAGCTTGACACCGAACCTCCAAGAGGGGAAAACCAAGTTACTAGATCTCAAGGCGAGTTGGAAGAAAACCGATCCTGGCACTTGCTCCGTCCTTGGGCAAGTGTCTTATTCGCCCAAGGTGAGCAGATCAGCAGGCTGTTCTGAATTAACCAGGAAATGCAATGCTACCAGGGGCATTACCTTCGCTACCGGTTCGCGAATGTGATCGCGCTGGGCCTCCCGCGCATGCGCAGAACGTCAAAAACGGGACGTTATTACCAGTGGTGGGCTGCCCTCGGTTCAGACCGGTTCGCAAGAACCGGCAGTAAAACCGGTGGGAGGCTCCGCCCACTGACCCGGATGTCACCACAGGTGAATGTGAATGCGTGGGCGTGATGCGAACCGGTAGTAAAGGTAAGTCGAACCCACCCCTGGTTATTACGTCCAGGCGGGTGGGTAGAGTCTCCTGTAGCCGCCGCTACAGATTCGTCCGAACCGGATAGAACTGTCCGTATACCACCACTAAATGCTACCCTACCAATAAATAAATAAATAAACCAACCAACAGCATTTATTATAGCTGGGAGGGTCTGCAAAACCTCCTCCCATCCATCCATCCATCCATTCCTTGATTGGCTTTTAAGAACCGGGCGATTTCTTGATTTGCCTTTAAAAGGCAAACCGATTAAACCGAAATTGAAGGACAGATTCCTTGATTTGCCTTTTAAGAAACCGGCCTTGCAAAAGCTCGCCCGTGTGGTGGATGCAAATCCCAAGGTACAACCTGGTGGTGAAATTCTATTTTTTTAAACGACTGGTTCTCTGGGCGTGGCGTGGCTTTGGTGGGCGTGGCAGGGGAAGGATACTGCAAAATCCCTATTCCCACCCCACTCCAAGGGAAGGGTACCGAAAAATCCCCATTCCCACCCCACTCCAAGGGAAGGATACTGCAAAATCCCCATTCCCACCCCACTCCAGGGGAAGGATACCGCAAAATCCCCATTCCCATCCCACTCCAGGGGAAGGATATTGCAAAATCTCCATTCCCGCCCCACTCTGGGGCCAGCCAGAGGTGGCACTCAAAATTTCTGCTACCGGTTCTCCAGAACCTGCCCCCCCGACCAACCAAGATTGTGCCACCCACCAGGAATCGGAGGAGAGACAGATGCCAAAAATAAATAAATAAATAAAAAAATAATAGGCAGATTTTGGAGAATTATGACTCAGCAAGTGGTCTTAAAACTCGTTTTGTCATTAATGGGAATTTTAACTGTCTGCTTCCAGAGAAGCCAACACCGGCTGCCGCATTTTTAAAAAACCGTGTCTTCATTTAAAAAAATTAAAACAACACAGATGGCAGGATTTTAGAAAAAAACCCATTTCTTTGTGTAACCTCTTCTCGGCAAAACCGGCTTCTCTTCTCTCCTGAAAATGGGGAAGCTCTGGTTTGCAAGGAACACCCCCCCCCCCCACTCCGAAAGCAGCAAGAAAATCAAGCCAGCATCGATTTCCCACATAATCTGTGAGTAGAGATACGAGCTTCAAAGAGCAAATTGTGTAGAAATCAGCACAGAAATCAGTTCGTTTCCCCAGAAGTCACACAAGGTGCCCATCGCACCCGGTGTGTGACAGGATGCGAGATTGGCGGCAAACCAATCAAATCAATAAATGATGGCTGAAAGGGAGCATATATAGTCCTCGACTTACACCAGTTCATTTAGAGACCGCTTGAAGTGACTTATGACTGTTTTCCCCGCTTAACACTGCTGCAGCGTTCCCGCAGTCATGTGATCAAAACTCAAGAGGCGTGGCAACTTATGGCGGTTGCAAACGGATCGACCGCCGTCCCGCAATCCCCTTCTACCACAGCCAAGTCAATGGGGAAGCCGGATTCCCCCTTAACAACCACGTTCCTCACTTAACAACCAGGGCGAGAAGGGTCATTCAAATGGGGGGGGGCAAAGCTCACTCAACCACTGCCTCGCACAGCAACTGAAATTTTGCACTCAAATTGTGGTCGTTACCTGTAGCAGGGAACGAGAACTCATGCAGAGAAGCAACAGGCGGCCTCCTTTGGGGGGGGGGGGGGGGGGAAAGGAAAAGGGGGGGGGGTAAAAAAATAACGAATGGATTTTTAATTATCCTCAACAACAGAGGCCAACTTTGAAGGACATTCCTAAGAAGGTTGACCACTGAAGACCACGAAAAATAAGAGAGACTTACGGTCGAGGCCATTCAAGTATCGCATCTGGATTTCACAGTGGCCCCACACGGCGCTCACTACGGGGTAGAGTTTTTTCCCTTTCAGCCCCCGAAAGGCCACTCCCATGTACTGTCCGTCCACGATGAAGCTGAGGGTACCGTCGTCCATGTCCAGCACCACCAAGAACGAATCCGGCACGATGAAGGTCTCGTCCGTCTCCAGAAACGTCGGGTAAGTCTTGCTGGCCTGGTTTTTCCCATCGTGGTACAGCCGGTTGCGCCCCAGATCCCATCCCCAGGATTCGAGGTTGTTCCCGATCAGAGTGGTGTAACCCACCGAGTGCAAGGGGGCCTCGGCCGTGGCCACGCCCACCACGGCGTGCGTCCCCCGCTGCCTCATGGCCCAGGTGATCTGCCACACGTGGAGCCCGCGAGTGTACCCCACTTTGCCCCGGATGGCGTCAGTACTCTGGGCCACCGGATGCCGGTGAAATGTCAACTTGTTGTCCTCTTTCACGAAGACGTTGAGCGAGCGGTCGTCGTTGTTCCACGAATGGAGCAGCTGGACGTCATAGGAGACAGCCGGCATGTCCAGCAGGAGGTCGAGCCGAGCCGGCTTGTTGTAATCCAGCCCTTGGAGCTCCTGCTTCAGCGGCCGGCACACTGCATCTCGCATGTCCACCGTTTTGAACCCCCCTGTCACTTTTTGCCCCATGGTTCAAGGCCCACCGCTCGGCGATGGGCATCCGGTGCGTCAGCCCGCTGCTCCGAGACTTCGCGCAGACGTCGCTTACCGCCGTCAACAGCACCTAATTGGATGGAAAGGAAAACAAGGGGCGAGTTAAACATTGAAACAGGTGGCTTTGCGAGGGCAGCGGTTTGGGGGTGGCGGAACCTCTGGGGACAGCGAAGACAGACAGACATTTATCCCACCACCACTACCACCACCAGCGATCCTGGGATGAAAAGGAGAAGACAACAGGCCTTAACAGAACGGAACATCTGGCCCCGGCATCTATCGGAAGCCTCCAGATGTTCCGAAGTGAATACCTTTCACACCACGTTCCGAAGTTCCAGGTTCTACATTCATCAACACTGGGAAGAGGAAGGGGGAAAAAGAGAGGTTGCTCTGGACTACGAGCCCCATCATCCCTTTCCAGGAGGACGCAGAAGTAATGGCTTTTAACTGGGGGAAGGGGGGGGACATCTGAACTAAAGGACCTCCCCTCCCACGATTTTGCCTGGAGGTGATGGTTCAATCTCCCCACGCCATCGTGAGAGGTTTTGATTTCATTTATGCAGACCTCTCCTGGCTCTAACCAAGATGCACTCTGCACATGCTTCAAGTACTTCAAGATATTTTAGACAAGCATCTATTTGTACCACTTTATAAAGCCTTGGTAAGGCCACACTTAGAATGCTGCATCCAGTTTTGGTCACCATATTATAAAAAAGATGCGGAGACTTTAGAAAGAGTGCAGAGAAGAGCAACTAAGGTGATCAGGAGACTGGAGGCTAAAACATATGAAGAACGGTTGCAGGATATGTCTAGTTTAATGAAAAGAAGGACTAGGGAGGACATGATAGCAGTCTTCCAATATTTGAGGGGCTGCCCCAAAGAAGAGGGAGTCAAGCTATTCTCCAAAGCACCTGAAGGCAGGACAAGAAGCAACGGGTGGAAACTAACCAAGGAGAGAAGCAACTTAGAAGTAAGGAGAAATTTCCACAAAACGATCCCACCGCCAATCCCAAAACAAGATCCACTTTTCCAGCAGGGGAAAATCTGCCAGTCCCTTTTTTTACAAAATGGAAATGGTGGGAAGTCGCTTTCTAAGAAACATGTTTTAAAAGACGAACTGCCCTACTGAAGTCCTTCCAGCCGCAGACTGGTTAGTCATGGAAAGGAAAGGGAAAAAAAAAAAAAAGAGAGAGAAGAGAAAAAAAAACAGGGTGTGAATCAGGTTTTGTGTAAAAGCTTACACAACACGCACAGATGTGTATATATAAGAACCTAAGGCTGGAAAAAGTGCGCCGTGGGAGCAAACGGACAATGGGTAATTTAATCTCATGCGACGGCATATTAAATATAAATATTTCGGGATCACGCATTTTCCCCTTCAGTTATAGTTTATAGCTTTTTAAAAGGGCAGGATTGGATTAATCTACCCAGCATCATGCCTTCCAGGCACGCACCCAGCCTCGAAAACGTGGCTAAATAGGATGGCATTACAGTTGCCGCTACCAGTTTGAGCGAATCGATACGAACCGGCTGAATACTATCTCCGAGATGCACCCTTAAAATAATAATAATAATAATAATCCTACCAGACATAGGATGGCTTGGATTATGATACAGCTAGTCCTCGACTTATAACGATCCATTTAGCAACCGTTCAGAGTTACAGCGGCCCTGAAAAAAGTGAGTTACGACCCTTTTTCACACTTAAGACCGTTGCGGCCTTCTCCATAGTCACGTGATCAAAATAAGAAAAACCTGGCAATTGACTCGTATTTATGACAGTTGCAATGTCCCGGGGTAACGTGATCTCCTTTTACGACCAGCATAGTCAATGGAGAAGCCGGATTCAACTTAACAACCAGGTTACTAACTTAACAACGGCGGCGCTTCGTTTAAACCACTGCGTCAAAAAAGGTCGTAAAACGGGGCGACGCGTGCTTCACCGCCGTTCCCGCTTAGCGAGGGAAATTTTGCCCTCGATGGCGGTCGTAAGTCGAGGATTACCTGTACTGCTTTTTTCTACGTTACAAACGGACTTGTACGGACCCCAACTCGGTCCTCCAACTCAGCATTACTTGTCTCAGCTCCTGCCAACCTAGCAGTTCGAAAGCAGGTAAAAAATGCAAGTAGAAAAATAGGGACCACCTTTGGTGGGAAGGTAACAGTGTTCCGTGCGCCTTTGGCATTGAGTCATGCCAGCCACATGACCACGGAGACGTCTTCGGACAGCGCTGGCTCTTTGGCTTTGAAACGGAGAGGAGCACCGCCCCCTAGAGTCAGGAACAACTAGCACATACATGCGAGGGGAACCTTTACCTTTACCTTATAAATATAATATCATACATAGTCGCAAAATACATTAACAATCAAAATCCCTTGGGAGCAAGGAAACTTTTTGGGGTGAAAACATGCGCTTAACCTGATATTCAAAACCCTGAAAACTAAGTCACGCAAAAGCAAACTTTTGTTTCTCGAAGTCCCAAGAAAGAGGGAAAAAAATATTTTCTACTCTAGCAATCGAAAGGCAAATTTCGGGGTAGCCAAATTCAAATTTCGAGGCTCCCCTTCCTGGCACCCCAAAACATTACACCAATTTTTTTTTTGGCTGCCGTTTTTTTCCCCCCCAGGAGACACACTTTCTACATGCAGGGAAGACGGGCTGAGACACGCGAGAAACGCTGCAGGATGAGACAAAAATCTGGTTGAGGAAGGAAAAACGCCACTGACTCTTCCTCTATTCAGAACAAGCTGTTCTTTGGAAAAATAGAAAAAAAAAAAAGACCAAAACGGGTCAGGAAAATCTGCCCTGGGTTTATTACATAACTAACCGTTTTGCAAGCTGCGTTTCCGCTAACGAAGATGCCCGAGTTGTTGTTTCGGAGGGAACAGATATGCAAGTTCTCCCTTGATGCTGGCTTCTCTCATAATCTGGTTTCCTCGTAGCTAGCTCGAACGAAAGGAAGCTAGGACTGGCTTTCCGCTCCCCGAGATAGCCGAGCCTTGCGCTTAAAATATTCTCGGCAACCAAGAGGCTTTAAAACCACAGTTACTACAAATCCCATCATCACCAGCATTCACCAATAGCTGTGGCTTGGTGAATCCAGAGCTCTGCTCCTCATTCTTGTGGCGGGGAGTTCCACAGGCCCAACTAGGCAAGGTGGTTTTCGGTGGCTGGGAAAAAGCCAAAACAGGAGAGGGTTAACAGCCGTTGAATCAGGGTGACTCATTGGCTGGCGATTTAATTCCCTGTGCAAAGCTTTGGGAAGAGGCTTCGGATCTCGTTCTCACACTCCGACGTGCCCAAGCCGCTTCCTCCCCAGCCGTAAAAACCAATCCAAATAATTATAACAGGCCAGCAAAACAAACAAACCCCAATAATCTTATGTTTTTAGGGTGAATTGGCAATGCCTTCCTCGAAAGAGCGGGGGCCTTTGGAGGCAGCCCGGGGGGAGGGGGGAAACAGGGGGCCATGCCCACCAGGTGGGCATGCCAAACTCACCTGCAAGACCAAACCCATCGGAAGACCCAGAACGCAAGGCAGCTTTGAAACAGGTAGTCCTCAACTTACGACCACAACAGAGCCCCAACATCTGTGTTGCTCAGCGAGACAGTGGTCCGGTGAATATTGTAAGGTGTTACTACCGTGTTTCCCCGAAAATAAGACCCAACCGGAAAATAACCCCTAGCATGATTTTTCAGGATGCTCGTAATATAAGCCCTACCTCCCAAAATAAGCCCCAGTTAAGATTGTCAGCCAGATGGGTGCATTTAGTAGCGTATTTTCCCCAAAATAAGACCCAGCCAGAAAATAAGTCCTAGCATGATTTTTCAGGATGCTCATAATATAAGCCCTACCCCCAAAATAAGCCCCAGTTAAGACTGTCAGCCAGATGGGTGCATTTAGTACCATATTTCCCCCCCAAAATAAGACCTAACCAGAAAATAAGCCCTAATGCGTCTTTTGGAGCAAAAAATTAATATAAGACCTGGTCTTATTTTTGGGGGAAACACAGTAATTGAAAAACTGCACTGGATCACTTAACAAATGTGGCAGGAAAAGTCGTAAGGAGGAGCAAAACTCACTTAACAAATTTCTCACTAGCAACATATACCTATTGGGCTCAATTGTGGTGGTAAGTCGAGAACTCCCTATATTTTTAATCACAAGTTCAAACAGATATCTATGTCAGGTGGACGGCCCCTATATATGTCACCTCCCGCCCTTCCTTTTGCTAATTTATTTCCAAATATTGTCATTTTTCATTCTTTGCATCCACGTCTCCCTTCTCCTGCTTGACGTTCAGGCACATCAGCTTCCTGGACTGCGCACCCAGGACATTGTCACTGGCCAGATGTTGCACTACAACTCCCAGGAGACCCTGCCAGGAGCAAAGAATGCTGGGAAACGTAGGCCAGACACTTCTAAAGCCACCAAGCCCTTCCCTTCTTTCCAAATTTCAGATAAATCTCTGCTAATGTTAACTTTCCCCCCCGAATGGATCAATTTGCAAAGGAAAAGAATTACACCCCCGTTTCTAATCCCAGGGTATAACCAGCACCCCAAAACCAGCTTTTAAACCTCGAGGGGAAATAATTGATTAAGAAATAGACCAAGAAGTTCCCTAACCACAAAGCATAATCCTAGGCCGGCTAGGGAATTCTGGGAATTGAAGTCCACGCTTCTTCAAGTTGCAAAATGGAGAAACGTGGCTTAAATCGGCTGGCTAGGGAATTCTGGGAGTTGAAGTCCAGGCCTCTTCAAGTTGCAAAATGGAGAAACGTGGCTTAAATCAGCTGGCTAGGGAATTCTGGGATTTGAAGTCCACGCTTCTTCAAGTTGCACAATGGAGAAACATGGCTTAAATCGGCTGGCTAGGGAATTCTGGGAATTGAAGTCAAAGGCCTCTTCAAGTTGCAAAATGGAGAAACATGGCTTAAATCGGCTGGCTAGGGAATTCTGGGAGTTGAAGTCCAGGCCTCTTCAAGTTGCAAAATGGAGAAACATGGCTTAAATCGGCTGGCTAGGGAATTCTGGGAGATGAAGTCCACGCTTCTTCAAGTTGCAAAATG